ATACCTAGGTTAGAACATAAAAAGGGTTGCCACCTGCTAAAAAATTAAATGCAATTAACTTAAATGAATTACTACAATATGGGTAGCAATCGATATGGTTTTAAAAAGGCTTTATTTCTAAACAATTATCATCTACTTAAAAGTTAAATTCAACTTTGAGTCAAGAAAATTAGGTAACTGAAATATGTATAAAACTGGGAAGAAGGCATCATAATTCTTGACTGTTTAAAAAATCAGTAGAATCGGTATTAACAATTTCGAATTTCGACAAATTTTTAAACTTGTACTTTTATTTTATCGTTATGAGACATAAACCGATAATTGCACAAAAAAAGCTCGAACTTCGAAAAATGGTGGCCCACTTCACAAGTTTTTTACTCAGTTACTTAGTTAGGCGAGTTGTATGGCATCGCGTCTAAGAGGAGATATTTAATCCCGAAAACAATTAAGGAAAAAAGCGACCATGTTTACTCAGTCAGAAGTTATTGCACTTTCAAAATGTAGATTGCAGAGTTTCAGTTTTGTGTTACGACCTTTTCCTTTCCGAATATCATTTGTTTGTAGTAAATTTGGCTTCAAAAGTGGCAATAAATTCCAAAAAGCGTATATTTCGTTATTCTAATTAATAAAAGGACTTAAATCAATTAGGCACTTGATATTTATCAAAAACAAAACCCGAGAAAAAAGCGATAGCTCAACAAGCTCAAGTTTTAATTTTGTCAATTAACACTTCTCCCCCCACACTCGCCACTTTGTGCGCATGAAATTAACATTTGCTCTGAGCAAAACAGCAAATGTAGCATCTCAAACATCTGTCACACAAGCCACAATTTTGTTTGGCATTTCATCATCTAAATTACGTCTGCCTATTTTATGGATAACTCACAGCATTTAGTTTCTTATCACGCATTTACCAAATTTCTTCAGCGAATATATATTTGAGTTTTCACACACATAACTGGCAAGCAAATGACTAGCTGGCTAAACAATAGCAATGTTGAATTTAATTAGGCGATTAATCGCTTTCGCTGCCATTTGTTACACTTCGAGTGAATGGAATTCAAGTTGTGGTGTTTGCGGCTTTATATTTCTGCCTAAATGAGTGAGTTTCACTCACTTTACTGCCTACCCTGCGCATCGCTAGCGACCATTTAGCTTGTGTATGGCTCATTTACTTGACACATCAGGGGATTATCCAGCGCGCTGGCTCCCCTTCACTCATTCATCATTTTCCGGATGTGCTCAAGGCCTTATAATTAAGTGCCGTTACAGCTGTTTACCTCCATTCTTGCGTTATATACATACATATGTACGTACATTAAGCCGTTATCTTTGCCAATGTCGGCCAGCCAACTGTAATCATCTTCCCCATCGCTTACCATAAGCAGTTACCGCTAACTACTTCCCATTACTCACCATGTAATTCCACTTGTTAATGACAGTTGGCAGTGGCCATTCATAAGCTATTTGGCTTTTTATTTTTTAACGTACTGAAATATCTGCTTTATGGTTGTCTTGAAGTGCAAAGTCGTTAATACATTTTTATTAATCACTCTTTGCACTACCACCCGTGGCCCTTTACTTTTTATACGAACTTTTCACCCTTTGGCAGATAAAATACTTATTTCACTTTCATTATGTAAATATATTTAAAAAATGTACTACTCAATGAAAGAAACTGCTATAAAAAATTAAAAAAAGTTAATTTAAAATATGGAGCTTTTGCACGTTCTCTTCTTTAACAGTTTGAGCACCAAGGATATAAAAACTAATCACTTTCGATTCATTTCACAACTTCAACTAATAGCAAATTAGTAAAGTGGCCCCATTGTAATACTTTCATTAGCTGCATTGAGAATAAATTTTTTCATAAAAAAGCTTATATTTAGTAAGCAACGATTTGTCGTTAAGAGACGATATAAGTCGATACAGTCACGATGTCCTGGATGGTCCCCTTGACTAGGACCGCTACTCGACAGAAAATCTGAAAGAAATACATGTTTCAGTCTGGAGCGACTTATTAACAAGCACGCCCCTTTGTGCACCTAGTAACCCCAATTACCCGCCTTTTCTCTACTGTCAAGGCTCTTATTTGTCCCCTGACGACTGAGGGTTCTTATGCCAGCACTATTCCCAGTATACGCCTGAAGGTTGCCCTAACAATAACCGCAGACGCGGCAGACGTCCTCTTCCACCGCGCTTCTGGCTGCTTCCACGGCTACCATCTCAGCCACTTTCTTCGATATTTCAGAAACGCCCGATAGAGTATCTAGCTTGATTGCCTTCGCCTTCCAAACACTACCAAACCTGTATCCTAGGATACAGTTTTTGCTCCTGATAACTTCCAACGACCGGTCGTCTATCGAGATCGTCAGCAGTTTACCCGTCTTCTCAATATGCATTCCCTCATTTTGAGCTATAATGAGGTTCAGTAGTTTCTGCGTATCCACCTGCAGCTTTTGGCAGGTACATAGTGATGACGAGCATCCTAGGTATGTTATCCCCGTCGCACGTAGTCAGTCCGCAACTTCCCAACCAGGCAGTTTTAAAAAAATTAGACGCAGCCATTTAGCTGATTCTGCATCCATGTAGCCAACCAGTGTGAGGCCTGGCCGAAAGTGGATGCTGTCGAATTGGAACATGGATCTCCAACCCTTACCCATCTCTTCTACAATGGCGTTGTAAATCTTTCCCTGGTGAGTAATTACCAGCCTAATACTCTTAGTGACGCCAGCATAGCTAACACCGGGTTTTAGAGCCATTTCTTCGAGACGGCTCTTCTTCTTCTGCTGTTGGATACGCAAGTGAAGTGGTAATTATAAAAGCGAAAAAATTCACCATCGTTCTACGGAGAGCTGTTTAGTATCGTTTACTTGAAGAAACAAACCAAACCTTGGTTCGATCACCCTTGCAAGTTCAGCGTTGGAATACTCTGACAAGGTCTAAGGTTTAGGAAGTACCCTTAATGAAAATCCTAGTTGGATAAACATTTAGATAAAATATTGAACTAAACTTACTCGAGTCACAAGGGTTTGTTGGAGACTTATTTTTGAGCAGAGTACCGTTTATTACTCCATGGTTTATCGACCAAATGTACTAGTCACAGGATCAATTAAAATTTGTTCAACGGTTGTAAGAGGCTGGTACTTGTATGCTAATCGTCAAATGGAGAAGCTATCTTATCTTTTCAGGTAACTAAGCGGCATCTTTGTCAGAGTTCTCCTTAATAGAATGATCTGTAATTGTCAGTTAGTTTTTGGGCACTCTTAGCATCTTGATAGCTAGAATTGTGCCAAAATTGGATTTATATTGTTTTGAACAAATTTCAACATTATTCTGGAATTTTGATTTTTTTCGATCATATTAAATATCACCGATATTTTCCAATTTAATTTTTAGATCATAAAAGATTTAAAACGGTCGTAAAAAGGCATTAGCCGTCATAACGGTTAAAAGGTATCGAAAAAATACGAACTCAGGGCAAAATAAGACCTGTAATAAGTTATTTAAATAATATTTAAAACCTGAAGGTTCGCTTATCGTACGACAAGAAAAATCTAAGCTAAGATAATATTTATTACAAATGATTAACTATTACCAGGTTACATTTTTCAATCAGTATTTTGTTCAAAAATTTTCTTCGCCTCTGGAAAATGTTTTTATCGGAAAGTAAAGCACTAAATTCCATAATCACTCACATCCTTCACTAAAGTACTAAACACATTTCCTTCCGCAAAATATGTATGTAAGTACGTATACACATTCACACAACATCCCAACAGCAGCATCCTCTATCACATTTATGAACTTATCAAATTTCCCAATCGATACGCTATTTCTGCCATCCTACCAGCACAATACCACTGGTAAAGTCTTTTGTTTGCCACCAAAGTAGCAAATGGTTACCTGCAACAACGCTGTTAGTGATTTTCCGTTCCACCAGAGCTGTTATCGGGCTAAGCTTATTGTCAAAGTAAAGCCAATTGCAGCGTATTTGGGGCGAAAAAATTCAATTTCGAAACATAATATGAGCAGAATAACGATGCATGTGACTAGCTGATCTCGCGCACAGCCAAGCAAATAAACGTATTCAATGGCAGAAGAATAAAATTGTGGTTGATAACAGAAAAATAAAATACAATGAAACAAAGCAAAGTGGTAAAGTAACCGTAACAACGGTAAAAATAATTCGCAAACACAAATAACCCAGCCAAAGTTGGGAAAAACTAAAGGACAGGAATAGCAACTCAACATTTTCTCATTGATATCTGCGGTAATTTTGCTGCTCGCTTGCCCGCTGTGGGAAAGTGCCGCAAGCGACGCTTAAAATGTGCAACAAATCGCTGATGAAATACTCGCAACTGCGAAACAAACCCACGGCGACTGGGGGAATGAAGACATCGCAACCAAGTCAAAGGGCACAAAGCTTTTAACGCTGCAAATGCAGGCAAAGTCAGGGTAGCGCGTGCTTGCAGCCACTCACAGGCTTCCGCACTTTCGCACGCCCAAAGACGCGCGCCACGCTGTTGACGACTCATCACATTTTGATAACTCCACCTTTTTTGCTACCTTCCTGCTCTCCCGCCTTTTCTTCCTACATCTAACTCTTCTTGTTTGTACCTAACTTCCATTGGCGTTAACAATTTTTGTTTATGATTTTCCGTTTTCAATTTTCACAATCACGTATACGCCATGGTGTCTCAGAGAAAACACGCGCCACAGCTGGCTGCTTACAGCGCGCGTTATTTGTTGCTATTGTTGACGTAAGGTATATCCGGTAGCATTACATTACGATGTTACACGTTCGCAGCGCTCAAAACAAACACTCAACCAAAACGCAATCTAAACAATTACTTTAATAAAATCTGCGCTACATTTCAGTCATTTTGAATTTTTTTTTTTTGTATTTTATATTTTTACCCTGCGAAAGCCCAAAGCTTTGAACCTTTCGGAATTTTACTACTTTTAACTTTTTTCTTCTTCTTTTTTCTTCTTTTTTTACAGTTTGTACAGCCGGCCCGCATGAGAAACGCCTGCTGCACGCCCTACTTGACAACTACAACAGTCTGGAGCGACCCGTTGTGAACGAATCCGATCCACTGCAGTTGAGCTTCGGTTTGACGCTTATGCAAATCATCGATGTGGTGAGTTTTGTTTGTCTTTCTTTTTACACATTAGCGTACTTTAGCGTGTGTGTGTGTGTGTGTGTGTATTTATTCTAAGCCCATTTGCACACTTAATCAAACTCAAAAAAAAAAAATTGTCTCGTAAAAATGGGAAAATTCACTTTAATACGCCCTTAGGTGTACGCCGGTAAGCCCATTAAATTAGCAAACAAAAGGCAATCACGCCGGTGTGAAGCATAAAACAGCTACTTATCTTTCAATTACGGGATGGTTACGCAACGAGAGACTTGATGTTGACGGTATGCACTCAACTTGCCTCTATGGGAAGCGTGCCAATATGTAGCTCACCTTAAATTTGCACTATAAGCCACTAAAAAAGGAAGCACCGCATTTTTAGGCCGCATTGCACACAACGTTCGGGCAAAACGAATTTAATTAGGAAGTGTCAAACTATATAAAGTTTATTCACGAGTATACATCGATATTAGGGTGGCGCTTCAAATATCAGAAAATTTCAAAATTAAAGAAAAAAATGTTTAAGGGTCGCTGCAGGGTTTTGAAAAAATTTAAATTTTTCTGAATCACAAAAATTTGGCAAAATTTTTACTTTGAGCAGATATAACTCTGCAGTTATAATATATATTATATTAGGCTTCAAGTCAAAATTTTGTACCATTTTTTCGATCTAAAAAAAAATTAAATTCTTTTGAACTTTGGCATCGACCCCTTAAAATTGATTTAAAATTTTGAAATTTTCGTGGATGTCCATATTTTATACCTAGAACAAAATAAAAGGTTGACCCCTACAAAATTTAGATGTTGAGCAGAGTGCTGATTTGATTTTTGTTTCTCTAATTATTTGGTCTCTAAACTGTCAAATATTGTTAGTTTTTTTTTTTTACAAAAATTCTTAATTGGCAAACTATATTTGCATGTGCAGCTTCAAAAAAGCGATTAAAACCCAGCCTTTGGAATATTTGATTAAATCAGAAGCATAAACGCTGATTATTGGGCCCTGCAAGTGATGTATTGATGCTTCTGGGATGGAACAAATTTAGAAAAGGAAAGAAAATCGCACCATTTTTTTTTTTTTTGTATTTAAATTTAATATATATATTTTTTTTTTAATATTTCAAATCGTATACTATGACATCTAAAAAAAGTAGAATATTCTTTTGACACTTTATATACGAGAAGCAACAACAAATTACTTGTAAATATTGTTTTTGAACTAATGCTACTACCTTGGCTCCTATATTTATTTCTTCAAAAAAAAAATTTACAGCAAAAAACTCAGCATCGAACCAAAATTATTTTGTTTATTGTAGTCGTTGAATGCATAGATCTTGAACAAAGTTGGCCATTTCATAGGCTCAAGTTTTTAGCGTTTTCTATATATCTGAAAAGTAATTTTGGAAAACACTGCCTTAGAAGAAAATAATATTTTTTAAAAATATCGATGCTAAAATTATTACATACTCCATGTTATAAGAGTATCATTCATATATTCTGCTCTTCAATGTACATATGTGTGTTTCGCGATGTTTTTATATGAAAAAAATAGCTATACCGTTAACAAAAAAAAAAATGCCAAAACTAAACGCCTTCTTCCAAAGAAAGACAATTCGAAAAATTATATATGCCGATTTTTTTGCATAAGTCAATTCGTAAGATTTATCTACACTTAACGCAAATATGTTTTCTTCATCATTAAATTCTCTAACTAGAAAACTACCTTTGTACCTGTTTTTGTATTATTTGCGTTGGATCTATGCAATTCACGAGCAGTTATATTTAGAATTATAGTTCATACCTTCATATAAAGGAAAATAATTAAGAAACTAATCTTTTAAACATTTTTCCACACAAGGTTGTTCATAGAATGATGGTGATTCTCATATCAAACCTACACGTTTTATTTTTGCTCGGTGCTCCCTTAGGCCGCTAATTTTAATTTGGCGCACTTTTCATCCCAAGTAGATGCCTGTGATAACTACTTAAGTATGTAGGGGAAAGTCTGTGAAGAATTTCACGGCAGTCATTGATGTTTATCACACATTTTTACAGCAAACTCAACCGTAAATTTTCGCTTACATACACAGCTATTTACAAAGAAATGCTTAAACCCAAATAAATATAAGCAACATTTGTAGTACTTTCAAGTTACAAATTATAGCTTAAGTGCTGATATGGTACAACTACCCAACTACTAAACTTATCTGTCAGCATGATCACAACACGCACACATACATACATACATATGTAATTGTATAAATTTGTACTTACATTTCCACACCACCACACCACAGTGTCGATTGCTACTTGAACTGCTGAAAAGTAAAATAAAAATAGAAAAAAAAAATCCCACGTAATCGCACCTGCCATTTCGGCTCGCTGAATTCTGGTTCCTGCAAAATTTCCTTCTACGGATGCGCATTGAAATGTAAGCAGGTGAAAGATGAAAATAACGGAAATAATAAAGCTGAAATGCTTCCCAAACTTCCAGAAAAGAGATATTATGATAACGAGGCAGTGAAAGGGGGAGGGTGCAAAAGAAAAGATAACACTGCGCAAGGAAAAAGTTCATCTGATATTAACCGGCACAGGGGAAAATTCTGTGTGCGGCAAATTGACAACAAATTTTCTGTATTTTTTTAGTGATTTTATTAGAAAATCTAATTACTCTTAACATCGATTCTCTAAAAATAAATTATAAAATAAAATAACTTAAATAAATATGTCAAACAGATTCTAAGTATGAACCTGGGAAAATACAGTTATTTTCACATTCTTCTCATACCAATTACTTGCTTGGTTGTTATTTGCTCTCGTACTTAGTAGCACCAACGCGTGAGTATGTAACTATTTATGTGTACCTACTATCACTATACAATATTAAAATCCTAACAATTTTAGCAAAAGTTTGCTGAAAGATTCTTGAGGTTATCAGCTATAAATGCAGCAGCATCAAATACTTCAGCAGCGTACGCTTCGTTCATATTTGCTGCTAAGAAAAATCTTAAAACTTTTCAAATCTTGCATCTAAGTATTTTACAAGCAAAAATAAATGCTTTGCCTATAAGAAGGAAAGCTTGTATACTTATAAACATAGGCGTTTCTCAGAGGCGATCATTTGAAATCTTAGTCAAATTTTGATGAACTCTAAACTCTTTTAGTTGAGTTGTAGGCAACGGCCTTAAAACATCGCAAACGCTAATAACACCGGCACACAAAAAAATTGGTGTTAGCTTTTTACCAGACCCATCTACCGACATTTATTTCGATCCACTGAATCCAAATCTGCGATCCGCTTGACTCGCACACCTCCTTAAATTTAAGTAAATTGCGAAAATTGCAAATTTTGTGTAATTTTTCGGTTTCTCGTAATTAACTCGAAATTTAGGAGGAATACGAGTCAAACGGGCCTCAGATTCGCAATTTTTACAACATTCCTACTAAGGTAAAGTGCTTCACTTTTCCCTGTTATATTTTCGAAATAAAGGGCTTGGGATTTGGACTAACTTTTACCTCACGTATTTGTCTAGTAGTATTGTCAGCTGTAGTAATTCCGCCTTCTCGGAGCTCCATGGCGGACCAATAAAGGGTGTTGGGTCTATAAATTCCTAAGCAGCCCCTTTTCTGGCGAGAATATCTGTCACTTCATTGTGCATGCCTCCACTATGTCCCGGTATCCAGATGAGGTAAACACGATTCCTGGATGACAAAAGTATTAAAAGCTGAATGTAACCCCACACCAGCTTTGCGGTGAACTCTTGCGCTTTAAGAGCGAGGAGGACCGCTTTGCTGTCCGAGTGTACATTTGTATGTAGATTCTTTGGCTGTTTGCCCCACTTTCTGACGAAAAAGTTACCTCGGCCTGCTGGTGAAAAGAAGTCTTTTGGGTTGGTCAGTCGTGTAGTCATGATACCTAATATGGCCGTCCTTCCGGGATATGTATATACGTATAGATCGTTCGTTGTCGCAGTTGGTTCTGTTGAGGAAAAAAGACCTCGAAATTCTGTGTGAAGTTAAATCTCGGAAGCCACCGGGCCACCAAGCTAATACGCAACTCGTTCGCCTTTGCTTTGAGCTTGTATGAGCTTATTGTCTCCTACATTGACCGCTGAGAAGCGCCTTACTGTAAACAGCAGAGCATCTCGTGTAGTACAAGCAGGTCTATAAACACCTCAAGAGCCGCGGTTGGTGTTGTTCTCATCGCGCCAGTGATGCTGATGTGAGCTAGTCTTTGTAATTTACTGAGGTTGGCCTGAGTGGACTTCACTTACGCCTTCTACCGCCAGACGGTCGCAGCATAAGTTGTAATGTAATTTAAGATGGCTTTATACGTACAGCTGGCCAATTTAACCCTTATGTCCTCGTTCCGTCCTATTAAATTCCATTGGGTTCAGATAGAAGCCGTGGTCTTTTGATAAGCATTAGCTAGATGCGTATTCCATGAGAGCTTGCCATCAAAGATAACTCCAAGCTCCTTGACCACTTTAGAGAAGTGTACCTTTTCCCCTCTTCATGAGTTCCAGGTGTGAAAATTTCTTTAGGAGATGTGCTGAGAAAATTTATTGATAGGCGCTGAGGCATATATAGCCCATCTTATCCTATCCTCGTCAAACTGACTTTTATCGGTTCTCCGATCCTCTGCGTAGGGTCATTTTATCCCAGCCTACTTGTGGATGGTTCGGGTTACTTGTAACCTTATCGTTGCCTTTATATTTCCCTTGTCCTTTCCCGATCTGTATCTATGTTTTTTAGCCAAAATTATAAAATTCCAATTATTTTTAAATTCTCCGTCCATCTTATTAAGTGTATCTTTCCTTTATATCTTTCTTTACTTTTACCTTTATCCGTATCTTTATATTTATCTATGTACATATATCTTTATCTTTATCTTTATTAACTTTTTTATTTGTATATTTTCCCTCTTTAATCCCTTCGAATTTTTTTTTTTGTGCTCGCCAGTGTGCAAACATTTGTAAGTACAGACATATATGTGTGTACGGTGA